TTTGTAATAAATAGGTGTTGTCTTTCCTAAAATATCTTTGTTAATCAATTATATTAGCTAGAGCTACTATTATTAGAAGGACTACTTTGGTTAGAAGGACTACTTTGGGAAAAAATATATAAATATAAGATACAAAGTGGATTGGGGTCTTATATTTAGAACTAAAATAAAAGTCAAACAATGTCTTATATTAAGGACTGGATGTAGTATTAAATAATTTTTTCTCAACAAATACGCGGTTACTGACATAGCTACCTCTTCCATCCATTTACTCATACTACATCAAACATGAATTGTAAACATGTTGTTATATTAATCTAGGACATTTTTTTCAAGACTTGTCCGTATTTATTTTTTTAACCTAGAATATAACATCTGAGTAGAATAAATAACTCTAGATGATGATTATACAACTCAGGTTACTCATTTTTTTTCATTATCATCTCAATAGCCAAATAATGCTTAGACATCTTTTCTTTTCCTCAACCATATACTGCCCAAAAAACCACATCAAGTGTTCTTCTGGGAAAGGAAATGTAATTTATGGGCATGTAAAATAAACAACTTAATAGTATTCTGTTATTTACCTTTAATATGAATCGATGATCAGCAGAAGGATGATGATTTGATCTTATGAAACTAAACTGAAACAAACAAAAGTGCAACCTAAGAGGCTTTGGAAAAACAAAACAAAAGTTATGTATAATAGGGAAAAATTATTCCTTAATCAATATTAATAGAACGAAAGAATCTCCGAACTAACTAATGTTTACCTCCAATTTATATACACAACCTTGATGATATTTCGGGAATTCAAACAGTGAAGGAAGGCTAAGAAAATGGTTGACACTGTTGGTACGTGTATGGTTTTTGGAAATTTGAAGGAGGCAACAATTAGCTCAACAACACAAGCAAGAACAAACGATAAATGAATTGGAGTGAATATATATAAGAATAAAGTCTAAACTTGTTGATAAATAAAGACTTGTGGGAATTTAGGATTCTGGATTCATAGCAGTCTGCAGTATTTTATAGCATAGAATGATCAAGTCCAAGAAAAGTCTTGTGTTGGAACGATTAAAGGAAATTTCTATCACTAGAAGCTTCAGAAGGGTGATGCAGGTGAAGAAAATGTGGGTAGGGCCTCAAAACATATAACGGGATTCAAATATTCAATAAATCTTTTTTTTTCCCAAATTTGATGTGGATTTTGATATTCTTTGATGCATGTATTTTCCCACTCACATCCAACTTAATTGTTTGAAAAAGTAATGTGCAAACAAAAACCTACTCTTCACAGCACCAGTTAGAAAACGCTAGCCACTAGCTTTTATTCACTCTGCCTAGTTTTAGAGATCAAAGTACATGAGAAGTAAAAGACATATAAAACAAAACCAAAGACCCGAAATCCTCTATGATATTAATTTTAGGCAAAATATATGCGTAAAAGATGTTTACCAGAAATATCAAGCCAATAACACAGCTGTGCCATGGGCCAAGTGGAGAGTTACTATCAGTACTCAATCTTGAATCTCCTTTTTCAAGCCTATGAACTAGCAATCACAGCCAATCTCAAATGGGTTGTGCGAGAATTGTAATGGAATGAAAGCATAAAGCCAGAGAAAGAAGAACAGTTATTAATTTAGACTTCCAGAGTTATAGCAGCATTCAGTATTTTATTTAGAGCTTACATACCCTAGGAAATGTTTTTTTAATTTACAGAAATCTTACACTAAATAGCTTAATTCCAGGATTTTCCCCTGAAAACAGCTTTAAAACTTGATCAAGTTAATCTGGTATATTGTACATTTGAACTATTATAATATACTACCTCCGTTCCATAATAAAAGAGCAAATTATAGATTCAATTTGATTCTGAATATAAGACTTCAGTATGCTTTATCTACCATATTAATTCATTTTGCCTACAAGTAATCCCTATATTGATTACATATGTTAAAGGGTTTCCATTAAAGACAGTTCTAATACACATAATTAATAAAGATATTTTTAAAAAAGAAAGCACTCATTCATAACTAATTAACTATTTTTCTTAATATTAACAAATTAGTTATGTAGGTCATTTAGAACAAAGCAGTGGTCGGAAAGTATCCCCTAGAAGTCTTCTGCACCTGAGGCATCTTACTTACAATTGAGCTAAGTAGCATTTCTCTTCATCCAAAGACTTATAATGTATGAACCATCAATAGTACTCCCTCTGTTCCTTATTATAAGAGACATTTGGTGCTTATGGCATGTTCCTATATATAAGAGACACTTAAAAGTTGTCTCTACTTTTTTGTGGTGATTTCCTATTTTACCCATATTTATTGTCTCGAACTCACACTCTCTCTCCTTCCCACTTCTCTTTCTTTTAATAAATTACCATTGTTCTCTCTCATGTTCTCTCTCCTTATTAATGAGGATATTTTTGGAAAAAAAAATTATACTTTTTCCATATTAATTGTTCTTAACTAATTTTAACCGTTTTTTTTATCAACGTAATTCGGTTATTCGTCTCTTATAATAAGGAACGGAGGGAGTATTATTTTTCTTCTCTTCTAAATGTCAATGCATGGCAGAAAAAGGATTTCAGTTTAATATATTTCAGGAATTTATCGGTCTACTGATAATATATTAACGGATAAGAAGTCAGATAATTGCAGTTGTTGCTAATTCTGATGGTTCAGAATCAGAGGGGTGGGCATCCACAGTCGGAGCTGGCATCAAGATCCCATGTGGAGCAGCCTTGTGAGTACACCATGCAAAGCAACAAAACTTCTGCACATATCTTGCTTCTTGGCATTCAGAAGCCATCCATTATCAGTGAATCAGGGAGATCTCCACCGGAATGGTAGAAGAAGAACAGAGCTTGAATACAAAAACTGCTCCGATGAACGGTGGAGGTGCCTTTGATTCCGAGAACGGCTACGATTGAGCAAATTCCTATAATTACAACAAATATAAAAAGTAATATTTGATACGATGGATGATATTCCTGTTAAGAGGGTTGTTGAATAATGAAGTTAAATTCTCTTTAAAGGTCTTTCTTTATGTACAAGATCCAGGCAGAAAGCTAGATTCTTGCTTTTAAACCAGCGTTTAACCATTCATCATACTTTATGCTCTAGAACATAGCTTACCATGCACTGACTTTAGGCTTGTGTAAGCTTATCTCTGGCTTCTGACCTTGACTGAAAACTCGGTGACCATGTTTCAGTGTTTTTCTATTTTCATCTTTTTTGAATACTCTTTCTTTATTCAAGTTTTTCCTCTACCATTGTTCACTTTCCAGCGGGAGATTTAAAAGATCTATACCTTTTTAATGAAATACTGATAAGTTTTCCAATATAACTTCAGGGATGAAAAATCTGCTTACCTTGATGAGCTATGTAACTCCAGTAATGGCAGGGGCAACCGCTCTTCTCTCTCTTGCATTGGATCCATGGGGGGAATTCAGGCAAAACGAATATTTTAATAGTCCATGGCATATTACTCAGAGTAGTTTACTCATGCTTCTAGGTGGCGCACTTGCTTTTCTTATGGTAAGAGTAAATGTTCCCTTTCCTAGGACATGACATTACATTATTAATTGTTTGACTTTCTGCTTCTTTGACATTTAAGCTTTCAATTTTTTCCTCCTCTCAAATCAGTTTTCAAAGGTGGATCTCCTTTTTGCAGGTCCTAACAGGGTATGTTCTTGTCTCAGTAACTAGTGCAGTCACCGTTACAATTGCTGGGGTTGTTAAGGAGGCTGTCACCATATTGGTATCATTGTTTTACCTTTTCTATGCCAGTTTGTTGACATGAACATCCAGTGGCTACCACCCTTTATTTTGGTCTGTCTCATATTTCTAAAGAACCTAGTTAAGGTGTCACTTTTGTGCTGATGTCATTCATGACTCATGAAAAAAATTACTTAAGAAGGCTTCCAAGTTACTTGACACAGATTGTGCATTATAATTTGATTAGTTTTTAGGTTGTTGTATTCAGCTTTCTATAATATTGAGTTGATGGTTTCTGCATTTGCTGATTTGGCGGTGTGGTGGGGTTTAAAAGGTTTTTTTATACGACTGCACCATAGCTGCATTGAAAATATTGATAATTGTAACTAGTTGTGATTAGTAAATTTGATGAGGATGGGAAAAACAAATGTTTCATGCTGTTATATATTTTTCTACTCATTGAAGTGCTTTATATGCAAAATTAAATTTGATTTTTTTTCAGGTTGTTAAATTGTTGTCATATATGTTTAATTTTCATGTTTGTGTAGGTTGCTATCCTGTACTTTCATGATCAATTTACTTGGTTGAAAGGACTTGGCCTCTTCACTATCATTGTTGGTGTTGGTTTATTCAATTGGTACAAGTAAGTCATTAGCTAATGCGCTTCTCAACAATTTATTTTGGTATTTGGTCATAATTTTCTTCCCTCTTAATTTAATTTAGAGCCTCGAACTTCAAGGATGGTGATGGTCATGCTCTCTCCATTTTGAATGGCAAGTACTGGAAGCTTCAGAAGGGTGAAGCGGGTAAAGAGGATGGGGCTGGGACCTTCAAAACAGATTCAGCTACAAAGTATCTTATCCTTGATGCGATGGATGAGCAAGAAGAGAGTTCCTGATTTATGAAGTCATTGTTAAAATCCACCGTTCAAAAGTAAGTCGCTGCATGATGTATTCATGTTGATGATTGGAATCTTAATTTCTTTGGTCGCGTCTGGAGTCACCACAGACGCTTCAAAAAGTTTTCTGCTTTTCTTCCTATAACTTGACAATCTTGTGTCTTGCATGATTATGATACATCTAGAAAAAGATGGATTTATTCTTGAAAGAAGCTTTAGAGTTGCTTGATATACTCTGACCTTCATCCCATCACACTATAATATCTAATCCCAAATAAAAGAATGTTCTTTTCTGATGATAGCTTGGTTATCTGGTGAAAGAACATTGCTTTCAGTACTGAAATATGCTTAATACTAACACTCTTTTTCTGTTGCAGTCCCTTGTGTATATTTTGAAGCTGATTGGGTGGAGAGAAGAGAGAACAAATCTCCCACATATAATAAACAACATTTTGTCTTTTATTTTGCTTCATTCATTTGACATTCTCTCTAAGATAATTCCACAGAGGCTGTTGTATATTACAGAACAACTTGCTATTGTGTTATAATCTTGAAATTTTGGTTAGACTGTGCACAAGTTATTTTAAATGCCGGATGAATATTTACATATTCTTATTGGCTATCGATTTTTTAATTATGTCTGGTCTAATTATGAGTTCTATGAAAATTTAGTTATAATATAAAATAATAGTCTACTGTTCTGTTTATTGTTAATATATTCTTTCTGATATTACTTTTATTAAGGGGTGCGATCTTTTGGATGATTGTCAGACACGTAAAATGACGCATTTCTAATGATATAATTTATACACAATTATTTGTAATGGGGTTTTTTTTCTTCAAGCAAATTTTTCTTTTTCCAATTGTTCTCCTAATAAACATGAATATGTTTTGTATTTCTTTGTAAATAATAATTATAAATTATATTGCGACGGAGAAGTAAAGGACAATAGGAGAAATCATTAATTAGTGCAGCATGTTAAAAAATAGGGAAAACCATATTGAAGGTACCTATACTTTCTCTCAATTTTTAATTTGGTACCTATGTGTTTTTTTCCCTCTAATTAAATATTTAATTTTATCTTTTTAGCAACATTAGCTCTTATAACTTTGTTCTATTGATATTTTTAGTCTCTACATAAGAATTAATGATGTTAATAGAGCAAAATTAAAGATTTAGTTAAGAACAAAAAACACATAGGTACCAAATTGAAAATTGAAAAAAAGTATAAGTACCTTCAATATGGTTTTCTCTAAAAAATAATATAAATGTTACAGATGAAATAAGAAGTCCACGCAGCCACGCAATTATTATATTTGTGTACAACCTTCAGTATAATTACATAACTATAACATCTCAAGTCAAACACAATTTCAAAATAAGATATCTAATTTCTTATGTGTATGATTTGTAACATACTGACACACATTTAACACACTTTCACACAGCATTTAGTAAAACACAAATGCAGATAAAGAAAACATTAGAAGACCAAAGCTCCTCATCACCTTTTTAGTTTTAATTTTCGGATTTGATCTCCGGTTCTGAAAAAAGAAAATAATTGATTAGAAGCTTAAATGTTACATCAAAATGGCACAGATAAAAATATAAACTAACAGCCTAATTTATCCTATGCATTTTTAAAATTTGTCCTTAGATATCTATCTGTTTATAAAGCTGCTAATAATGTGATAAGAATGTGTGAATGGTGAACATTGATTTGTTTGGATTACGCACTTATTGAACTCTAATATTACTGCAACATGTCATTCATTTCATACAATATTTTTTATAAAATGACAATTATATATATAGAAACCAACATCTTAAGGAGAATAAAAGATTTAAATTCAAATTTCTCGTAAAGTAGCCAAAATTTTTTTTTTTTGTGGGTGGGTGGGGAGGTTAAACAAGTGATTTTAAGTAGAAACAGTGAAATACAAAATTATGTGTTCGATATATAAGACGACCAGATGGAAATGAGGTGCTGTATCAGACAGAGTGACGTGAATAGCAATCGTACAAAACTATTCCATCCATTAAAAAAAATAAAATGTAAAAAAGCATCAAAAGATAGAGTTTGAAAGGAAGAGTGTGTCCACGTGGAAATAAAAAGCGTAGTACCTCATGAGGCCTCGTATTCCAATAGTGGAATATTGTGCATATTTGGACAATCTCGTGTGCGTGTAGTACCAGATAGGAGGCTGAACTCATAACCTTCATATATCTCTCTCAACTGTGGCAAATCTTCGAGATACAAATCCTTCAATTTGGGGAACAGGTTTCCATGATCACCAACTTCAACTTCACCTTTAGATCTCTTAACAACCCCCTCAAGTTCAGCGCAACTCACTATGCGTATGCTCTCTAGTGAAGGACAATGATGAGAAGCCATAGAATATGAGAACACCCTTTTCATTTTATTGCTTCCCAATATCAGAATCTTCTCAAGTTTGGGGAAGCAAACATTAGAAGAAGAAGAAAGATTTTCAAGTGATTCTTCACAAAATATTCCCTCCAATTCCTCACAATCAAATACTTCTAATATCTTCAACTCTGGAAGGCTTGTGACAATTGTAAGAGTGAAAATATTCCTCAACTTTGAGCATCTCCATAATTCAATACTTTCGAGTCTATGGAGGCTCACACTTTGTGTGGGACCCTTCCAAATGTATTCTAACTCTCCCAGATCTTTTAAAAATATAGAACACAACTCTGAATTCACGACCCTTGCTCTCTTATTCTCATTTTTCTGTGAAGTAGTTATATCCAATGATTACATGACAATCCGAAAGATTGACAATATACATGAACCATATCAAATCAAACTGTAAATTAACACTAATATTTTTAATATTGTAATAACATAATCTGAATAAGATAAATTTTACTAATTTAGGCCTTCATATATTATCCGCAATGATTTGTTACAAATAAAACAGTGCTGAATAATTACTTTCCATTTCCACAACAATGAGCTGGAACGAAAACATTAATTAAAACAAAAATTGAAATAATTATTGCCCAAAATTTGATAGTAAAAACACGATTTTTTTCAAATCAACTAAAACTTTTAACAAGAGGGAGACTTAACAAAAGGGGAAAAAAATCTTTTTAAAATATCTAAACGACAAATTTGACAAAGCAAACATGCCAATTTTTACGACACTGTTCACAATATAAACCCAATCAATTTCGCACATTTGACAAAGTGGTGAATTTAGCAAAGTTAAAGAAATTATTTGACAATTTTTTTAAAAAAAAAGAACAAAATTTTTTAATGTTTTATCAAAATTCATCAAGAAAAAATAACAAATTAAACCCCACTTTCACATAATTTTAATATTGTAATAACATAAGTTTTATTAATTAAGACCTTCATATATTATCCACACTGATTTGTTCCAAATAAAACAGTCTTGGATAATTACTTTCCATTTCCACAATAATGAGCTGGCCCCAAAACGTTAACCAAAAATTGAAATAATTAGTTCCTGTTATTATATTCAAGATATATTAATTCTTAAAACTAATATATATATCTATATTCCTTGGTAGCAAACACGATTTTTTTCAAATAAATTTAAAAATAAACATGCCAATTTTTAACAGGAAAAGAGGTAGACTCAACAAAGGAAAATATTTGGCAATGTGAAAGAAATTATTTTGACAAAAATTTTAAAAGCAAAAGAACAAAAGGAGTTAACGTACGTTTTAGCGGTAAAAAAAAAGTTCACCAACAAAAAATAACAAATACAGATTAAAAATAAGAGCATGTTATCATTCATGTTCATTATTTATTATCAGAGAAGCAACAAGTTGAGCTAAAAGTAATATTTGATTGTTTGTGGAAAATACTTACCTGTTGCGGACACTCCAATAATCCTCCTCCAAATATGTCTCTCAATTTCGGCAACCCTCTTAGATGTAATTTCTTCAGTTTGAGAAGAGGTAGCCGCCAATCCCCATCATGTGCTGCTTCTTCATCAACAACCGTTTCCAGTTCAGAGCAATCCCTTATGCCCAGCACCTCTACTGAAGGACAATGATGATAAGCCATAGAATATGAGAACACCCTTTTCATTTTATTGCTTCCCAATATCAGAATTTTCTCAAGTTTAGGGAAGCAAACATTAGAAGAAGAAGAAAGATTTTCAAGTGATTCTTCACAAAATATTCCCTCCAATTCCTCACAAGCAAGTGCATGTAATATCTTCAATTCTGGAAGGCTTGTGACAATTGTAAGAGTGAAAATATTCCTCAACTTTGAGCATCTCCATAATTCAATACTTTCAAGTCTATGGAAGCTCACGCTTTGTGTGGGGCCTTTCCAAATGTATTCCAACTCTCCCAAATCTTTTAAACATATAGAACACAACTCTGAATTCACGGCCTTTGCTCTCTTATTCTCATTTTTCTGTAAAGTAATTATATCCAATGATTACATGACAATCCGAAAGATGGACAATATACATGAACTATATCAAATCAAACTGTAAATTAACATTGCGAATGGAACCCCTTTTTCCCGTATATTTTTAATGTTGTAATAACGCAATCCCAATAAGATAAATTTTACTAATTTAGGCCTTCATATATTATCCACGCTGATTTGTTACAAATAAAACAGTATTGAATAATCACTTTCCATTTCCACAACAATGAGCTGGAGCGAAAACATTAATTAAAACAAAATTTGAAATAATTACTGCCCAAAATTTGATGTAAAAACACGATTTTTTTTTCAAATCAATTAAAATTTTTAACAAGAAAAAGAGGGAGAATTAACAAAAGGAAAAAAATCTCTTTAAAATATCTAAACGACAAATCTGTCAAAGCAAACACGCCAATTTTTACGACACTCTTCACAATAGAAACCCAATCAATTTCGCACATTTGACAAAGTGGTGCATTTAGCAAAGTTAAAGAAATTATTTGACAATTTTTTAAAAAAAAAAGAACAAAAGAAGTTAACGTTTTATCGAAATTCAATTAAAAAAATAACAAATTAAACCCCATTTTCACATAATTTTAATATTGTAATAGCATAAGTTTTATTAAGTTAGACCTTCATATATTATCCACACATCATTGTCTCTAATAAAACAGTCTTGGATAATTACTTTCCATTTCCACAATAATGAGCTGGCGCCAAAATATTAACCAAAAACTGAAATAATTAGTTCCTGTTATTATATTCAAGATATATTCTTAAAACTAATATATATCTATATTCTTTGGTAGTAAACACGATTTTTTCAAATAAATTTAAAAATAAACACGCCAATTTTTAACGGGAAAAGAGGGAGACTCAACAAAGGAAATTATTTGGCAATGTGAAAGAAATTATTTTGACAAAAATTTTAAAAGCAAAAGAACAAAAGGAGTTAACGTGCGTTTTATCGGGAAAAAAAATTTCACCAACAAAAAAAATAACAAATACAGATTGAAAATAATAGCATTTTATCATTCATGTTTATTATTTATTATTAGAAAAGCAACAAGTTGAGCTAAAAATAATATTTGATTGTTTACGGAAAATACTTACGTGTTGCAGACACTCTAATAATCCTCCTCCAACTATCTCTCTCAATTTTGGCAACTCCGTTAGATATAATTGCTTCAGTTTGAGAAGAGGTAGCGGCCAATCCCCATCATGTGCTGCTGCTTCATCAACAACCCTCTCCACTACAGAGCAATTCGTTATGTCCAGCATCTCTAGTGAAGGACAATGATGAGAAGCCATAGAATATGAGAACACCCTTTTCATTTTATTGTTTCCCACTATCTCAATATTCTCAAGTTTGGGGAAGCAAACATTAGAAGAAGAAGAAAGATTTTCAAGTGATTCTTCACAAAATATTCCCTCCAATTCCTCACAAGAACCTACTTCTAATGTCTTCAATTCTGGAAGGCTTGTGACAATTGTAAGAGTGAAAATATTCCTCAACTTTGAGCATCCCCCCAATTCAATACTTTCAAGTCTATGGAGGCTCACACTTTGTGTAGGGCCCTTCCAAATGTATTCCAACTCTTCTAGATCATATACAAATATAGAACACAACTCTGAATTCACCGCCCTTGCTCTCTCATTCTCATTTTTCTGTAAAGTAATTATATTCAATGGTTACATGACAATCTGAAAGAAATGGACAATATATATGACCCACATGAAATAGAACTATCAATTAACAATACGAATTAAATCCCCTTTTTTGCATAATTTTAATATTGTAATAACATAAAAATTATTTCGCAATGTAAAAGAAATTATTTTGGCAAAAATTTTAAAAGCAAAAGAACAAAAGGAGTAAACGTTTTATCAGAAAAAAGTTCATCAATAAAAAATAACAAATACAGATTAAAAATAATACTCACATTTTATCATTCATGTTTATTATTTATTATCAGAGATGCAACAAGTTGAGCTAAAAATAATATTTGATTGTTTGCTGAAAATACTTACGTGTTGCGGACACTCCAATAATCCTCCTCAAGTTCAGAGCAACTCACTATGCGCAGCCTCTCTAGTGAAGGACAATGATGAGAAGCCATAGAATATGAGAACACCCTTTTCATTTTATTGTTTCCCACTATCTCAATATTCTCAAGTTTGGGGAAGCAAACATTAGAAGAAGAAGAAAGATTTTCAAGTGATTCTTCACAAAATATTCCCTCCAATTCCTCACAAGCAAGTACTTGTAATGTCCTCAATTCTAGAAGGCTTGTGACAATTGCAACAGTGAAAATATTCCTCAATTTTGGGCATTCGCACAATTCAATCCTTTCGAGTCTATGGAGGCTCACACTTTGTGTGGGACCCTTCCAAATGTATTCCAACTCTACTAGATAAAATAAAGATAAAGAACACAATTCTGAATTCAATGTCAAAGGTTCGTCTCTTGCTTCAATAGATTCTGTTCCTCTGACTTGCTGAACCTCAAACATACTACCTTTCATTCCACTTCCTACAATATATACATCTTTCAAACTTAGGAAAGGGGTCCAGAGTTTCTGATTGCGTCAAGGAACAAAAAACCGGACCGGGAATTAAACTGGTCGAGACAGTGGGTTAAGGGTTACTGGTCGGACCGAGATCAGACCGGGGTCGGACCGGTCATATTAAAATAATATAATTTAATTCACAATATTAAAATAAAACAAAATTCGTAAATAATAATTACTAAAAAAAATAAGAAGCCACAAAATTACTTCACGGGCTGAATGAACATGAGACTTGTGGGTCCCATTTAATAGCTTAGCATCTTTGTCGTATTGATTTGCAAGATCCCCTTTGACGAGCGCAAAGGCGTCCCTCATCATCTCCTCGGCGATGTCGACCCACAAAACGGAGAGTTCACGCCTTTAGATTTTTGCTTGCGCCTTGGCTCTGTCATCTCCGACATTACTTCCAGGAGGGAGATTCCCATCGTCGTTGGTGGGTCGAACTCGTTCATTCACGCTCTGCTTGCGGACCGATTTGACCCCCAGATAAATGTATTCGATGGGTCGTCGTCATCGAATTTGATCTCATCAGAGTTGAGATATGAGTGCTACTTCTTGTGGGTGGACGTGTCATTTCTTCTATTGTCAGATTACTTGATGAAGCTGGTCGACGATGCTCGACATGGGAATAGTGGAAGCAAAAAAAAAAAAACAAAGAAGAACCGGTAACCCAGCCAACCGGGATAACCCGGTTCTATACCGGTTACCACCGGTTGAACCGGTTTTTCACCGGTTTGATTGATTACCGGTTTACCAATTAAACCAGACCGGACTGCAGACCGGTTCACCGGTTTTTCGGTTGAACCGGCTGGTCCAGTCCGGTTTTTTTTCCTTGGATTGCGTGAATGGTGGGAGCTTTCTACAGTAGTGACCACAGTCGGATTCCCCTGTACACATATACATATATGTATTCAAATTATAATTATGAAATGCACCCATTAATTACAACGACTTTTCTCTTACTCTCATCGCGTGAGTCAGAGATTAAACACGATTATTATATTACATAATGTATGTAAGCATATTATATATTCAGTGTCAAACACGATTTTTCCAGCAATAAATACCTGGCGCCAAAATCAATAGCACAGACTACAGAATTATTTCCTTAACAAAAATAGGAAATAAAAATATAAAGCACTATTGAAAAAATGAAAGTAATTATTTGACAAAAAAGTTTAATATGAAGACACAAATCCGTAAAAACAAATAGTATTTTCTTGTCTTGAAATAAAATGTAAAATTCTAATAGTAGTGCAATCACACACAGACATATGCAAACACTATGTATAGTGTTGCTACAGAGCTTTGAAATTTCAGAAACAAAAAATACATTTATATATTTGCAAAACCTTGAATTAAAGAAAATAACTGTTGCCTCTCATTTAGAATATGTTGGAGTACTTTTTTAGTCGTACGTATATTATTTGCTTATAAACGCGATTTTTTCAAATAAAATTTAAAAGTAAACATGCCAATTTGTAATTGAAAAAACGAGGTAGAATTCACCAAAAGCAAAAACGAAATGCCCTAAAAATATGTGAAACTCTTGGCAATTGCACGAATTTACACTAGCCTCTAAAAACTAGTTTCCCCAATATATAGATGGTGTTAGAAATTGTAATACACATAACTATTTATTTGACCAGAGAGTTAAAACTAACAAATAGAGTGATAAAGTAGGCACATTAATTTCGCATGATAATTTAAAAAACGGATATAAAATTCAGCACCAAAAGAAAAGAAACAAATTCAGCTTACAACTTTTTTTCAGCAAACGCATCAACATGGATTACTATTTCAAATGTGCAATGATTCAAGACGAATTTTGCGGATATAACACTTACGTATGGGTAGTCTTGAAGGGGCTCCCTTTGGTGCGGTAGACAATCACCATGCACATCTTCTTCATCAGTGAGCCTCTCAAGTTTATAACAATACTGTATTTGCAATTCCTCTAGCGAAGGACACTGAGAAGCCAGAGAATAAGAGAATAGCCATTTCAATTTGCTGCAATCCTCAATCTCAAGTTTCCTCAGCTTCGGTAGGCTTGTAACAGTGGCATGGGTGAAGATGCTGGTTCCCAATTCTGGACACCTCTCTAGAAACAGCTCTTGTAACATCGGGAGAGAACATGTGATCGATGAATCTTGGAACACTCGATCAAGACTATTCATTTGTCTCAATCTTAAACTAATCAGGTGGGAGAACACTTGTCCTGTTTGAAGATTGTTGGTGCTCAGGCTATCAGCTATGAATCTCTTCTCCACACAGCATGAAATTGCTAAGTGCTTTATTTCAGAATTTATATCATTAAGATCCCATCTACAATTCTCTAGCCAAAGGCAGTTTGCTCCAAGAATAAGATCTTTCATTGACGAATTCGAAACAGAGGCTTTGAAGCCTTGTATGCATAAAGCTCTCAGTTCTTCAATGCAATGAGCATCAAAATATTCTACAAGAGGAGGATCTTCATAACTAGAAATATTCAATGATGTGGTGTCATAGATAACGTACCTCTTCAACCTTGAAAGAGAGAAATTTTCTGGGATGACAAATTTCTTATTCCAAAAGTATAATTCCTCAAGTTGCTCACATCTTCCAATAACTTCTAAAGGACTTCTCTCAATTTCACACCTAAACACATCCAACAGCTTCAATTTTTTCATATCTACAATTCTAATAGGTAATTCATCAAATTGAGAACCACGCAAGTCAAGAATCTCTAATCCTTTGAGTTGACCTAGAAAAGAGATGTCACCCAATGCAATTCCTCTGATGCATAAGGTATGAAGATTAATTAATGATGACACAATTGATTGCAGCATTGACCATTGATTCTGCATTAGCTGAAAAGGTGACCTCTTCCAACCAAGTCGTCCCCATTGAAAGCTAGATATTACAAGGCCCAAGATTTTGAGCGCTTCAATCCCTCCAAGATCTTCAATGAACCCTTCGGGATGAAGTAGCAGAACCTCAAGTGTTGGACAATGCAATTGATTAGACTGCAGAAAATTGCCTCTCAGATTCCATAATGATATTACCTTTGTCTCTTTCAAACTTCCATTTTCAGCCAACATTTTAAAAACCGCATCGCTATCCACCAAAATTGCTTGATGTTGCTCCCTTGCAATCCATAAAGCTACATCCCGAACTAAGTCATGCATTTTTACACGTGCTGGCTCATTCGTATGCATTAATAAACAAGAATCTAATAGACTATTGATGCTCACTAAAATCTCCCTCCTTGCATCCTCCACTGCGTAAACAATATTCCCCTCAAATTTCAAAGTCCCTTTAGCAAATCGAATAAGATCCTCTCTATGAATTTGATGATCCTCAGGAAACATAGAGCACAATAGGAAGAGTTGCTTTGCTAGACTTGTTGGCAAATAATCATAACTCAATTTGAGACATGCATAAGGGTCCCTTGAACTCTCATCATCAATATCCAATGGTAGGGCTTGTTGTAGCCTCCATAGTGCTGACTTCCACTCCACAATTCCTTTTCCTCTTAATGCCCTTCCCATTGTCACAATTGCAATAGGTAGTCCCTTGCACTTATCAACAATTTTCTTTCCCACACCATCAAACTCATTCAATGAGTCATGGGTTATGTTTGCATGCATCTTTAACAAATCCCATGCTTCCTCCTCTATTAAGAGAGACAATTCAAATTTTTTCTCGCAACCCATAGAGACACAAACATGT